TTTAAAAATTAAAAATAGAAATACCATACAATCTGCCAATCCCATTTTTGGGCCTCTATCCACAGAATATGAAACTACCATCACCCTCCCACCCCAATGTTTGGTAGTGTTTACAGCAGCATTATTTACACTAGCCAGGACATGGAGGCAGCCTCAGTCTCCTTCAATGGATAAATGGATCCAAAAGTACAAACAAGCCATGGAACATTACATGGTCACAAGAAAGGATGAAATGCAAAGCAAGTCAGAATGATAAAAGCAAACATCTGATATTCATGTAAGAGACAGTTTGATGATGGAAAACACTTTCCAAAACTAGGGGACATCAACAAACATCCTGAGGACTCTGAGGTAAAGAGGCAGGGAGGGGAAGGGACAAGGGGGCACAAGAGATGGAAGGAGGGAAAAGTAAGGAAATGGGGAAGTGATGGGGACCTGTCCCAAGGACACAGAAGTCAGCTTGAAGTGGATCTCAGTGGCCAAGTGCGCAGCAAAAAAGTAGTTACAAAAACTCCGTAGAACTCACTGAAATAGAAAAAAGCTGGCGTTGATGCTGATATAAATGCCTGGCGTGTTGGAGGGAGACCAGGATATTTACAAATCTAGGATGTTTCAAAAAAATACTTAGAAAGCACACAGGCCATAAGAGTAACCAAACTGGGGAGAAGCCGGGAAATCACAACCTTAATCAAGCGAATGAACTTCACCAGCAGGGGGATAAATTGAGTGTCCGTCCCGTTTGAGGACCGCGGTGGGCACACAGCCTCACTTCAGCGGCGGTCGTCACAAAGATGACGAAGGTCCATCTAATCTGGGGATGTAGTGGGTAAGGCTTGAGGAAAATTCTACAAAATAATCACCGTGCCCTCTAGAGAAATGTCAAGACAAGGAAGACAAGGAATAGATGCATTTGAAGGGAGACATTTGACAGTGACTGCAGCTAAGGAGCCACGATGGGCTCAGTCCAGAAGCTGACACGGGCTCTGAGCAGTAGAGGGCACTAGAGAGTGGGAGTGATGAATGTGCTTTGGCTGAGTAGGAGGCTGTTCTTATTTATTGATGGATTTTTGCTAGAAGAGCTGGGGTGCAGGCCAGAGGTACTGGGGAGGGGGTGTATGTGTGAGAGGATTCACCAGAGACAGAGTGGGGAGCAGAACAGGCAGATCCACTTAAATACATACTGAGGGGAGCAGCAGGGAGACAGGAGAGGTCTGCTGTGCCATGTGGGCCAGCTCCCTGGCCAGGGATCGAACTCACCATAGAGGTGATAGTACTGAGACTTAACCTGTAGGCCACCAGGGAGGCCCAGGAGGATGTTTTTGATGGTAGAAAATGCCCCATCAATTAAGTACTCAGGGGGTTCAGAGCATCAGGTCAGCAGTGGGTCTGTAAGGACAGTTATTTGTGCTGTACTTGCAACTTTTACTATGTTTGGGATGGTTGAACAGGTTTTTTAAAAATTTATTTCTTTATGCATACAAGAACTGGGGTACAGGCCAGAGATGTAGGAGGATGAGAGGATTCACCAGAGACAGAGCAGGGAACAAAACAGGCAGACTTACTGAAATACACTGCTGAGGGGAGTAGCAGGGAGACAGGAGAGGTCTGCTGTGCCATGTTAGCTCCCTGGATGGGGATAGAACTCAGCTCCCAATGGCAGTGGCTGGCGATACCTTGATAGTACTCAGACTTTAACCCTGCCCCACCAGGGAGGTCCCATCACCTGAATCTCAAATGCCTTGTGCTGACTTGTGCTCTGGGCAAGATGCAGTGACATGGACCAGATTTACCTTCTCACCCGAAACGACCAAAAAATGGACAAAAACTGGGGCCTACCCAGTGGCGCAGCGGTTGAGCGGTGGGCTGTGAAGCTGCCCGCAGCCTCTGAAGTGCCGGTTCAATCCCTGGCTACTGGCAAGGGTCCCACATGGTGCACAGACCTTTCCTGCCACACCCGCTGCTTCCCTCAGCAGTGTGCTTCATCAGTCTGCCTGTTTTGCTGCCTGCTCTGGCTCTGGTGAATTCTCTCACCCTTCCGTGCTTCTGACTGTACCCAGTGCTTGTATAAATAAATAAACATATCTTTAAAAAAATGGACAAAAACTGGACATCAGTTAATGGAGGACGGGGATCCCTAAGAACCTGCAGACCAGCAGGGTTAGCCCAGCTTTGCTGGCTTGAGTTTCTAGTTTATGAGGTAGGAGGGAAGCCAGGTGGAAGTGGGATGGCCCTCCTGAGCCGAGAAGACAGAGATGAGATTGGGGCGGGGGGTGCACAATGATTAGCCTTCTAGAGAGGAGACGGCTGCTGGCAGCTCAAAGAGGTCTGCAGAGTGTCCTGAGAGGTCAGCTCTGGTCAACACACCATACATGGGCCTCCTAAGCCAGGAGAAAATCTCTGAAACCATTAGTGGTGAGAGCAGATGTGCTCAGGGGGCCCCAGAAGAGCACCAGCTCCCACCTACAGACCGAGAAGTTCCCGCTAGACTGAGTGCTGTTTCAACTGCATGTAATGTTAAAAGCACGATTCAAGGGACCTCCCTGGTGGTGCAAGGGGTTAAGCACTGCACTATGAAGCAATCTGCAGCCTCTGCAGCATGAGTTCAATCCCCAGCTGGCCAGGGAGCAATCCACATGACTCAGCAGACCTCTCCTGATTCACCTGCTGCTCCCCTCAGCAGTGTATTTCAGTCAGTCCACCTGTTCTGCTCCCTGCTCTGTCTCAAGTGGATCCTCTCACCCCCCCCCAGTACCTCTGGCCTACACCCCAGCGGGTGAAGACAGGTGAGGTCTGCTGTGCCATGTGGGTCAGCGTTCTGGCCCGGGATCAACCCAGGCCACAGTGGTGATAGTGCTGAGACTTAGCCCCCGTGCCACCTGAGAGGCCCCAAGTGTGGAATTTAGAAAATAAACTGACACAGCACAGCAAGGATAATTCTTGCTGTGGAAAATATACTGGTTACCAGAGGGGATGGGGGGAGGGGTCGGAGTGGGGGAGATCTGGGGACAGGATGAAGGCACTGGAGTTTTGGTGGGTATGGGGTGAGTCTGCAGAGGTCTGCAGAAGCAGGAGCACGTGTGGAGATGTGAAGTTGTATTCCCCAAATTATAAAGTTATGTAAACAAGTGACAAAAAAATTTAAAAATACAAAAACATTGGTTTTGGCAAAAAAAAAAAAAAAATTGAAAATGTTTCTCTGAGTGATTATGTACCTATTCCTCCTTCAGCTTTTTTTTTTTTCTTTTTTTAAAGATTTATTTATTTATTTATACAAGAACTGGGGTATAGGCCAGATGTACCGGAGGGTGAGAAGATTCACCAGAGACAGAGCAGGCAACAGAACAGGCAGGCTGACTGAAATACATTGCTGAGGGGAGCAGCGAGGAGACAGGAGAGGTCTGCTGTGCCATGTGGGACCTCGCCGGCGGCCGGGATTGAACCCGTGCTGCAGAGGCTGCGGACAGCTTCACAGTGCGGCGCTCAACCGCCTGCGCCACTAGGGGAGGACCTTTCTTTTTTATTTTTATATATTTTTAAAGATTTATTTATTTATTTATACAAGCATTGGGTACAGTCAGAAGTGTGGGAGGGTGAGAGAATTCACCAGAGCCAGAGCGGGGAACTGAACAGGTCTGCTGCACCATGTGGGTAGCTCCCTGGCTGGGGATCGAACTTGTGCTGCATAGGCTATGGATAGCTTCACAGGTTGCGTCTTAACCCCTTGTGCCACCAGGGAGGCCCCCTGCTTCAGCTTTCTTGAAGCGTTCTATGAACCCCCAAGGTTGAATACCTCTGCAGTAGATGGTCTTGTTTGTTTATTTTTTTTGTAGAGTTATTTATTTATGCATACAAGAACTGGGGTACAGGCCAGAGGTGCGGGCGCCATGTGGGTCAGCTCTCTGGCCAGGGATCGAATTCATACCACAGTGGCTGGCTGCAGATAGCTTCACAACATGAGCCCATAATCCAACAAGACTGATCTCCTAAGAAGAGGAGAAGACGCAATGGAAGCACAGGGAAGGCAAAGACAGCAGAGCAGAGATGGAGGGGTGCCTGCAAGCCAAGGACACCAAGCACTGACCGCCACATCCAGAAGCTACAAAGCAGCATGGGAGGATTCTCCGCAGCCTCAGAAGAACCTGCTCTTGCTGACGCCCAGATCCGGAACCCGTTTGCTGTTCAGGCGCCAGCCCTCCCAGCCCCAGACTGGGGTTATAGCGGCCCTAGGACACACGGGCGTCAGCTGCACTGAGGCTCGAATGATGAGAAACAGGCAATCGTATGCGCATTTATTTTATCTATCTATCTAAAGATTTAATTATTTATGCAGATTGAGAGGGAGGAATATTCCACGCAAGGGCAGGAGGAAGCCCGGCAGCGGGGGACTTGCTCCAGGCGGCAGGGCAGCAGCTGGGCCTGGGGAGCGAGCAGGGCGGGCCTCGCGGCCGGGCGGGCGGGGGAGGGCGGGAGTTTGGGTCCGCTGAGCCTCGCGGCGGCAGACGCGGGAGGCGGGCGGGAGGCGGGCGGGAGGCTGCAGGCCGGCAGGAGCCGCAGGGACCGCGGGGCCGCCGGAGCCCTCGCGCCGGCCCCGGCCGCCCGGCGACCCCGCGGGGCGAGGCTGGCGCCCCCTCCGGCTCCGGCCCGGGTCCGCGGGCCGCGCTTTCACCCCGCTCCTCCCCCTCCGGGCCCGACACCCCAGATGAGCACAATCGAAGCCGAACGCGCTCGGGCGCCCGCGGCCGCGCCCCGCCCCGAGGGGAGGGCGAGCGGCACGTCCCGAGGGGCCGCGGCCGGGCCCGGCCGGCGGCCCCGCAGGGCGCGGGGGGCGGCGCGGGGGCGGCGCGGGGCGAGTGCGCACGCGCGGGGGCCCGGCGAGGGGGCGGGCGGGCCTGACGTCACCGCGCGCGTGGCTCGGGCGGCGCAGGAACAGCTGGTGCCGGCGCGCGGCGCGCGGCCGGGCGTGGGTGCTGGGGGCGGCCGCGGGCGCTCGGACCCGCCGCCGCGCGCGCCATGGCCGGCCCGCTGGAGCGCTGCGAGCGCGAGTGGCACGAGCTGGAGGGGGAGTTTCAGGAGCTGCAGGTAGGGCCGGGCCACCTGGCCCCGCGGCTCCGCTCCCGCGGCTCGGTGCCGGCTCCCTTCCTGCTCCCGCGCGGCGGGCCGGCCAGCCGGGCCCGGGAGGGGCCCCGGGCTAGGCCCGGGGCTGGCGGGCCGCGGGGCCGGCCCCCGCCGTCTCCCGGGCCGGGCTCTCCGTCCGCTTGGGGCGCCCGGTGGAAGCCCGCTCCCCGCCCTCGCGCCCCGCGCGCCTCTTTCGCTGCAGAAAGTTGGGCTGGAGGCGCCGAGGGGAAGTTCCAGGCGGGCCCGTGTGCCGGGGCCTGAGGGTCCGAGGGGCGCTGGGCTCGGAGCCGCGCGGCCCCGCGCGCGCAGGGGTCGCCCCTGTCCCACCCCCGCCCTTTGGCTTTTGGCGGCGCAGCCCCCCTCAGCTCTGCAGGGGCAGCCTCTCCGCTGCAGCTCGGCGCTGGGGGGCGTGCTTGGGAACGTTCACCGGGGGCCCCTAGGCTTTGCTTCGGGGTTAGGGACCCCGGTTCTCCCGGTCCCTGGGGCCGTGGCGTCTGTGCCCACCTCTTTGGCGCTGCCTCAGGCTGAGTTTGGCGTTGTGGATGGCGTCTGTCGGTTCTGACAGCTGGGTGGCCTCCCTCGGAGATAGAGGATGCTCCCGGCCCTCACCCTTCTGGCCCAGAGCCCTCTAGGGTGGGGTGCGGGCGGCTTGATGAGAGGCCCCTTTGGCAGGCTGGCATTGCCGCTGGGGGCTGCTGGCGGGAGTGGAGTTTCGCAGGACTCTCAGCTGCCTACTCTGGTGACTTGGGAAACCTTGGCTTGGCCAAGAGGCACTTCTGGACTGTTTGGGGCTGATTTCTCTCCGAGCCTGGGGTTGTGTGTGTTTTCTCCCGAGTTAGACTCTATCTGAAATCCCGTTCCTCACCCCACCCCGTCCTCATTTGGAGCAATGACAGGTCCCTCACCCAGGGAGTTCCTGTCTGCCGTGGGTGGCCTCTTAACAGTGTTGGAAGAGGGGAGAGGAGATTGCCAAATGTGCTTGCAGTGGGTCTTGCTAGACACAGGGAGTAGGTCCCTGCAAGTGGAGAGGGAATAGAGAGGGACAGGAGCACGAAGGGGGTGTTGTTTTAGGATAAGCAGAGGGGAAGGCACCCAGAGGCAGAAGGGTATCCCCTATTTTTTTTTTTAAAGATTTATTTATTTATACAAGCACTGGGTACAGTCAGAAGCGCAGGAGGGTGAGAGAATTCACCAGAGCCAGAGCGGGGAGCAGAGCAGGCAGAAGGACCGAGGTACACTGCTGAGGGGAGCAGCAGGAGAGGTCTGCGCGTCATGTGGGACCCTCGCCGGTGGCCGGGGATCGAACTGGCACTGCAGAGGCTGCGGGCAGCTTCGCAGCCCTGCGTTCAACAGCTGCGCCACCAGGGGAGGCCCGGTATCCCCTATTTTGATTTGCCCAGCAGGTGTATGTGTGCTTTGGTTCCTGCTTCTACAAGTCTAGGAATTGGGTCCCACCCCGTTCCCGGTGGACCCTTCTGGATCTACTCCCATGGAGAAGACTCAGCTTACGTCTTAACACTTTGACCTACTGGGCTCTTGGGTCATGTCCAGTGAAACAGGGAGGCTGTATTAGGGTCCAGAGCCAGAGAAGAGAAGAGGTTAGCTGTGTGGCTCTCTCCTTGCCCTGTGTCAGCCTAGGAGGAGGAGGAGGAGTCTGACACTTCAGAGCTGTGCAATTAATGCAATTAACAGCAATTAGCTAGCAAGTCTTGGCAGGCGGGGGTTGCAAAGGAGATGTTTGATTTGTTGTTGTGTTCTTATTTGGTATCTCTAAGACTAGGTGTGTAAGGGACCGAGGAATTGGGATTTAGTCCTTGATATTGTCCCCTAGTGCACATCAAGGGTGGTAGAAGGGACATGATGTCCCCTGCTCTCTTCTTTGGTAGTGGGACGCTGGAATGGTCCTACTCCGGGGAACCTGCTGAACTCAGGTTTTGATGGGCAGCTGCCCGGTCAGGGGCAGTGTTGGATGGAAAGCCACAGAATCTCCCTGATAGGAAGGGATCAAGGTCATAGGCTGGAGCCCAAACACTCGATCATAGCCAAGGAAAGTGAAAATTGGACACGCTGATGGAATTGGGGTCACACACCATTTAGAGCTAAGTTTTCCAGATGTTAGTTCAGCTGTCTATCTTGTGTTGGAGACCCCTTTCTGACTTCTCCTCCACCTTTATTAAAGGTGCGAGTTCTCAGTGTCTGAACGGAGAGTCTAGGGTTGTGCATCTAAGCAGGGTGTACGCTGTCAGCGTGTATATGTTGGGCAGTTGAGACATTTGTTGGGGAACAAAGGGGTAACAACAGGTAGAAAGGGCTGCAGTTTGCAAGTAGAAGTGTTCACAGCAGGAAGAACCATTTTTTTCCCATCAGAAAATCCTGGTCTGTCTTAATTAGTTAAATTGTCCCTAGAATCTGGCATGTGTGCGTTTCATGTTCGTGTCTCTGATTCCATCTTTTGGAAGTGATGTGTAATGTCTCTGTGTTTTACCTCTCCTCTTTTTCAAAGGAAAGGAGGAAAGAGGAAACCTAATTCTCAGGTGCTAGAGGATGTGAAAGATCTTTGAACTTCCTCCCCATGCCTCCAAAAGCTATAATCCCTGGGACTTTCTAGAGGAAAGGGTCTCTTTTGACTGTGATCTGCCTCTGCAGGGACTCTGCTCTGCTGAGCTCTAAGGCCAGGCCGAGTTGCAATGAGGGTTTTGTTTTGGCATGGGTTCCAGCCACGCCAGTGAATTGAACATCAATCTGAGACCAGCGCAAGCTTGGCCCCATGGCCTGTGCTCTGACCACAGAAGGTCACTCACAGATATGGTGGCAGGTGATTTAATGAGTGTTTCCTGTTTTGCATCATTGGAAACTTGACCCTGTGCCTCCCTATCCAGGAAGGAGGTGGCTTGAAAGTGGCTTCTCCCTAAATTTGACCTCACAGAGCTACTGGGGCCTGGTTAGTCATTGTACATTATTTTATATCCCTTTAGCTGCTGCGTATATAATTTTCATAGGGCAGCAGATTGGAAGCAGGAAGGTAATTGTGTTATTTCATTAAAACCCTGTGATACCGGGCCTCCCTGGTGGCGCAGCGGTGAGCGCTGGGTTGCGAGGCTGCCCGCGGCCTCTGCAGCGCCGGTTCGATCCCCGGCAGCTCCCCGGCCACCGGAGGAGGGTCCCACATGGCGCGCAGACCTCTCCTGCCGCCCGCCGCTCCCCTCAGCAGTGTACTTCGGTCCTCCTGCCTGCTCTGCTCCCCGCTCTGGCTCTGGTGAATTCTTTCACCCTCCCGCGCTTCTGACTGTACCCAGTGCTTGTATAATAAATAAATAAATCTTTTTAAAAAAAAACAGAAAAACCCCGTGATACAGATCCTGCTATACTCATTTCACATAATTTGCCCCAAACCATGTGGCTTGTGAGTGCTGGAGCCAGGATTCGAACTCCAGCAGTTGAACACCAGCACCTGTGCTCTAATCATGACCCAAGTAGGTATGTGCCCCGGATTCTTTTTATTGGTGTTTCTCCCCCCTCACGTTGCCTGTGGGCCTCTTTTGAAGCAGGCTGTGTGGGAGGAACACTGGCCAGGCATTCAGGACTCCTGGACTAAACACCATCCACCCTCCATGAGTAACTAACCTTTAGCAAGCCACCTCTCTGAGCTTGATTTCGTTGTCTACAAAATAAAGATGGATGGGAATAATAGCACTAACAGCTCACTGTCAGGTACCTGGAGAAACCTGTTTAATGTAAACAACAACCCAGCTTTATAGATGAGAAGACTGAGGCCCAGGGTTGTTGAGTATCTTGAAAGCCATGGAGCCAGGGCTTGGACCTAGGCCTGCATACATCAGATACTTTTGGGGTTTCTAACACAGTAGACTCCAAAAGTGTTCCAGGACCCTTAGCTCTAGAAGAAAACCTTTGAACTTGCAGGGTCTCATTTCATCTGTACGGTGTTTTCCCAGAATGTCAGGATCCTTAATTGCAAGGAACAGAAACCCAGGCTCACTGGTTTTAAGTCAAAATTGGGGCTTTTTGACTCATATTGGGAAGTCCAGTGGCAAAAGGTTTCAGGCAAGGCTAGATTCAGGGGCTCCAGTGATGACTGTGGGTGTCTCTGAATCCTCTGTGTCAGCTTCATTCTCAGGCCGTCTCACCCATATTGTGGTAGAGAGGAACACTGGCAGCCGCAGGCTGGTTGATATCTGCTCCAGTCACAACACAAAGAATCCTTTCCCCAGTAATTCCAGCACAGCCCCATGGCTGACTCTCAATGGCCTGACTTGGGTCATGTGATTATCCATTCCTTACCCAGTCTCTGGGGCACTGATTGGGTGGACCTCAATTGCATGTCTACCCCTGGAGCCCAGGACTGAGACCAGTGTCACTTACACCATAGGTAATAAGAGTAGGGGGGAGTGGTCCCATAAAGGAAAACTAAAATTCCGGTATATAAAAAAAGGGGAGGGGGGATGCTAGCTATCTTTTGGGGATGATAAATGGAATGTGATTCACAGATTGTCAGGGCACCCCAACAAGTTGCAGCAAGCTCACAAGGACACCATGGGATCATTTAAATTTTTGAGGGATGCACAGTGATTTCTGTTGCTATTGCTTAAAACTGCCAACCTGGGTGGTTTGTGGTTTGCGTGATAGGTCACATTTTCTTTTGGTAATATGTCTTCTCGAATCTGGGTATTCAGTGGTCTCTGTGATTAAAAGCAAGCACTATGTGAAAATCAATATGGAACAAGAAATGAGGAGGTTAGTATCCAATCTGAACCCAAGGTTTAATAATGTGGACAGAGGCAAAGAGGCACATACATCCCATTAGTAAATAATTGTGATTATTTCAGAATGAACTAAAATATTTTTTGTCAATTTCTCTATAGCTTTATTTTTTGCAAAGGCTACTAAATTGTTAGTACATGAAAACTTTCAAGTATTTGACCTGAGTACTCAATGGAAGGTTCCCG